ATTGGAGCTATCCCAACATGGAACAGGCTGTGAGGGGAGGTGGTGAATTTCCGCTCACTGGAGCTCTTCAGGCAAAGGCTGGATGACTATTTGTCAGGCATGAGGTAGCCCTTAGCCTCTGAGGCTTCTTCCAACTCTAAAATTATGTGACCCAGGAAAGCGGACCTTGGAGCAAACGCCACGTCTAGGAACCCCCTTTCTATCCCAGCTTGGTGATGTATGGCTTTCTCCTTCTCCCTACCTCCCTTCTTTCCTCCCCCATCCCCCAAAGCCCTGAAGACACAACTTACTGCATTTAATGCCATACAACAGACTGGTACACAGGGAGAGCATGTTAATCTCTCTGTGCCTCAGTTACCCTAGGTGAAAAAATGGGAGTGTGAGACTAGATGACCTCTAAGGTCTCTAACTCGCTAGTTTTATGGTTCCACCTCCTGGCACATGCCCTGGGGAAAAGTATGGCAAAAGTGTTGGTGGTACCATATGTCATTCCTATGTTGAATCAAGGCTGAAAATGTTGGAGTCTAGATTTCAAGCTCATGCTGCCTAAGCTTCTCCAGAGATGCTCTAGCACTCTCAACCTCTTTTTTCCTGGTCACCGAGTTGTGCCTCAAGAACTGACCCTAATCTCACATCAAGAAGTGCTCATTAATGGCTACCCTTGGTTTTTAAGGGGGAGCAATAAATCCTGGTGAGGTTCAGGCCGAGGCCCAGGAGCTGAACTAGAAAGTCTAGGCAGAACTCTCCCTGCTGTACTGTTCCCAACCTGAGCTTATCCGCTTCCCTTCGCAGCTGATTCTCCAAGAGCAAGACACAAAGGCAAACCAAGTCTTGACTTTTCCACCCAGAGACAGCTGACCTTGAGCCTCTTCCTCCAGGAGAATCCATCCACTCCAGCTCCCAGGCCATGGGAGCCCTGTCAATGGTCTTTCAAAGGAGGCTGCAAAAAGCCACCTGGAACACTGAAATGGAGGCTCAGAGTGTAAGGGGCACCTTTAGGTGATAGCCAGTGTTACTCCTCTTCCCTGTTCTTACATGTATCCCATGATGCAGTTGCCTCTGTGGCTAGCCAAACCCATTCTTTCCAGTGAACCTAGGGGAACATATTAAAACCCCACCAACTCTCCTAACTGGAGGAAAGTTCCACATCATATGTAATTCCTGTTTACACCTTCAGTATTCCAACCAAACTGGCCTTTTGGTGGTCCCCATAGATAATATTCCATTTCCTGCCTCTGGACCTTTGCACAAACTGTCCCCTATGTCAGGAATGCCATCCCTCCTGAGCCATACCTCAGAGCTTCTCTAGCTCCCTTCAAGGCTCAGCTCAAGTGCCAGCCTTTCCTGCTTGCTTGCTATTAGTCCCCCCATCAATTATTTTGTATATGCTTTGTGTTAATTCATCTGTGCACATGTTGCCCTACTACCCCAGTAAAATGTATGCTCCTTGAGGACAAGAACATTTTGGTTTTTGTCTCTATCCCCAATGCCTAGCATAATGCCAGCCACATGGCACATGTTTGCCATTGATAAATGCTTGTCACGTTGAGTTGATGGCCCCTAGTTCATGACATCACCTTGTAACTCATTTTAAATGACCCTGGTCCAGGAGCGTGGTGCCCAAAGATTGCTCCAAGCACTTAATCAGTGTGCTCTTTCTGGCTGGGCTTGAACCCATAGCCTCATTTTCATCTGGGCTCCATCCCTTCTATCCCTATGACATGGCCAAGTCCTTTAACCTTGTGGAGGTTCACTTGCCTCATCTCTAAAATGGGAAGAAAAATGCCACTTGCCCCACCTCCCTCACAAAGTTGTTGGGTGGAGGGACCCATTGAGATTGTGTCTGTGAAGCAATCTGGTTACTGAACTGTCCATGTTATGAGCACTCTAGAGCAGGGCTTCTTAAGGTGTTTTTTTTTTTCTTGCTAGGCAGTGGTTAAGTGACTTGCCCAGGGTCACATAGCTAGTAAGTGTTATGTGTCTGAGGCTGGATTTGAACTCGGGTCCTCCTAACTCCAGGGCCAGTGCTCCATCCACTGTGCCACCTAGCGGCCCCACTTCTTAAGCTTTTTCCACTCACTACCCACAGTTTAAGAAGTGCTGCTCTAGAGCTCTAGGGGATCTCAGAGGCTGTCTGGTCCAGCCCCTCATTTGATAGATGAGGAAACTCTGGCCCAGAGAGGTTGAGTTACTTGACAAAATTTCCTGGAGAGTAAAGAGCAGAGCTGAGATTTGAACCCAGATGCTCTAACTCCAGATCCAGCCTAACACAAACAGGAGCTATCACTGCCATTCCTTTTATGGCCGGTGCTCTGAGTAGTGGGTCTCAGTGCCCTCTGCAGGAATTCTTCGGTACTGCTTAAGCAGTCCAACAGAAGGGAGCTCTAAAGTCCTCACTCTTGGACGTGCTCAAGAGCATGTATTACAAGGAATGGAGGAAATCTTCTCTCCATTTACAGGCTCTTCATGCCCCTATTCTCAAAGCTGCTTTGCTTTTCCTGGTTTTTTGTTTTGTTTTGTTTTGTTTGTTTTTTTTTTCTGAGCTGCATGGGCTTACTGAGTAAAAATCTGGGAGCTTCCAGCTATTTGCACTGTCCCTCCACCCCAAAAAAGCAGCATTTCAGTAGGTGAAGGGCTGCCCAATAGTGGTCTGAAGTAAACAATGACTCCACCCTCCCCAAAGACCCTGCTCAATGGTCTCCCCACCCCACCACTGGAACCTCACCAGGGATTAACAAGCTCTTCTTTGGGGAGGATTTTAAAAGCTCTTAAAATCTTTAAAATCCCTCCTGGGAGGGGTGAATCTCTTGGCCATCCATGCTTAAACTAGTAGTTAAAGTGTTGTTGCAAGGATCAAATTTATAAAGTGCTTTTTCAGTGCCTATATAGTAGGTGCTATAGAAATACTTATTTCCTTCCTTCCTTCTGTCACATGACTATTACTATCCTTTTCAGTCTTCGGTCACACCATTCCTCCTCACACACTCAATGTTCCAGCCAAACTGGGCTACTTCCTGTTTGCCATATGCAACATTCTATTTCCTACCTCCATACCTTTGTATAAGTGGTCCCCCAAGTTTAGAATGAACTCTTGTCCTCTTTTTGGAATGCCTGGTCTTCCTTCTAAACACAAGTCAAGTGTCAACTCCTCCCCAAGTGTTTCCCTGATATCCCTACTTGCTGACCTTTCAATCCCCTGAATTACTTGGTGTGACTTTTTCTCTTCAAAGTCCAGGCTCTCCTTTCTTCAGTTCTTCCCCCTCTGTCACCATTCAATCTCAATAGCTAGTGTGCCTTCAATTATTCTCAGCTTCTCGTTTCTAGAGGAACTTGCCTGACCATCAGCTTGACCAAATCTGGAACCTTCCAAACTACGAATATGGCCAAGTATGGCGAAAGCTTTCATCTCACCTTACATGGAAAGTGGCTTTCAGGTGGACCTCAAAAACCTGGGTCCAAGTCCTAACTAACTCTACTGCCTATTTACTGTATGATCTTAGCTCAGTCATTTACCTTTACTTTTCTCATCTGCAAAATGGGAGAATAATTTTCTCAATGCCTACCTCTAAGTTTAGTCCTCCCCAGTTGGCTTTTCTCTCTCTGCCATCCCATAGGGCAGTGCTTGCCTTACTCCCTAGGGCATATATAGATACCATATGGGAGCCGGGATTTATAGTAGAGGAAAAACCAGGTTTTAGAGTCAGGAGACCCTGGTTCAAATCATGCTCTGGCATTAGCTCACTGTGTGACCTTAGGCGAATCACCTCAGTTCTCCAGGTCATTTTCCCACTCATAAAATGTAGGAGTTAATCTAGATCAGAAGTTCTCACCCTGGGGTCCATGGACCTGAGGGTTCATAAATTTGGGGGGAATGTAAACTTGGATGGGAAAAATCCATCTTAATTTCCACTAACCTCTCACAGAAATGTACAGGGGGTGGGGGTGGGGATTGGCTTCATCAGATACTGCCCAAGGGGCCCAGGACACAATGAAGGTAAAATAGCCCTGTTCTGAATGATCTCAGTAGTCCCTTACAGTTCCAAATTCTCTGATTCTAAATTGGCATCAGCCACTGCACCACTCTTGCTGCCAGTATCATTGGTGTTTCAACTCTTGAGTGCTAACAAGTTGGAAGAAGGGACAGTCAAAGGGGTCAATATTACTCAGGGGTCGAGGGTCGGGGTGGGTAGAGCACAGGACAGAGCTATCTGAGACACTCTTCTTTTCCAGTGTTTGGATTTTCCCCAAGGTATCATTGCTAGTGATGAGAAGAGTATGAGGGCCTCATGCCTGGGGAGAAATGGGGGAGGTGGCTCCAGCTCTTCATCCACCAAATCAATGAGTTGGACCACACAAGATCCTGGCTTTAGAGGTCATCCAGTTCATCCCCTTTATTTGATCTCCAAGGGCCATTCCAGCTCCAAAGTTCTTGCTTCCATGACTCAGGCCACTGGCTCCTTACATGTCGGACCATGCCAGAAGCCTAACCTGATAACCACTGGAGAAGGCCATCAAGAAAGGGAAGCACTTACCATCTGCTCTGCATGGTTGGTAAAAAGTAGAGCTTGAGTTTGCCCTTTGGGCCCAAGCCATTGATTGGGTCCAGGTCCTGGTGTTCAGGCCCAGTCCCTTTCTAAGAAGATCTCTACTCCTTTTTTATGGGCTCATCCCCCACCCAGCACTTGAACTTCACTCCCCTGGTCTTTTCCCATCTCCATGGGAATGAATAGAAATGGAGAGATTCTGGTTTTCTGCAAAGATTTTGCAGACTAGGAGACCAGGATGGGATTGAGCTTGAAGCTGATTCTTTAGCTCCTGACCAGTCATTACCCCATTATGCCCCCTTTCTCTGCTGCTCAGATCACTGTAACAGTCACCTGTGGGTACATGTTAAACAATGAGCAAAAGTGCTTGGGATAAACCCTGGGGCCCCAGCCTTTGGGGTTGCTGGCTCCTATGGAGAAGACCACAGGGCCAGTGAACAATGAGAACAGACTTACAGCTTCCAAACTTCAGTGGGCAGGCATGAACATCCATGGGGAAGTCTTCCAAGTGCATGGGACATTCGGCATGAATGGTCAACCTGGAAGACACAAAACAAGTCAATGACCTACTTAAGCTTCAGTACCCAGGATTTAGGTCATCTGCAAAGGAGGACTTTTACAAGGAAGCTTGTTAGATGCTCAGACTAGCTCCCCAGCTCCATCTCTGGAGAGCTCTGAATAGGGGATGTCCCTTATGGAAGGGCAGTAGACTAGATGACTTCTCCAAGAGCCCTTGCTGTCTTCTGCTTCTGTGATGCAGACTTGACCCTCACCCTGCCATCTTGGAAAGATAGGAGGGAAACATGCACAGGGGCCACAGCCATGCAAATGAAAAGACCACTGAAAAGAAGTCAGACTCTGAATAAGTGGGAAAACATAGGGGACCTTCCTCCTCTAGGCAGAGAGGCAGAATGCTGCATACAATGCCAGACACAGTTGCTGGATTGGGTGTTTTTGCTTGGTTTTCTTTGCTAGAAGGGTGGATTCAATAGCAAGGAGAGAGGGGAAGCTGGAAATGACTGTAATAAAAACAAAGGGTACCAACAAAATTCATTTAAAAGGAAACAAAAACATAAAGCTCTTCTTGGGTTCCCTCCCTTAGCAACTGCAGAGCAAGCTGAGAGCAAACTTCCTGGCTGGCCTACTGCAGCAGGCCCGTGACTCACCACCTTCCTGTTCAGTTTAATTCTTTCTGAAATGGGGCTAATAACACTGATCCTTCTCAGCAAGCTGTCTTGCGAGTTAACTAATTAATGATTGGGGTAGGGAGAGGGAGAGGGATTTGAAGGGATGAATATCTTTACTGTGATAATGAAAGATCACTTAAGATGCTTCTGATGGGGATGGGCTGCAACTGCCTGCTCCATGGTGGGGGGGGTGCCCAGGGGGGAGTGGAGAAGAGCGACTGTTCTTGGAGAATATAGATGAATTGTGTCTGTATGTGTGCTGGGAGAAGAAAGAGGTTGGCAAGAAAATGCGATGCTACATAGTAACTGGGCATAGAGGGGATCTCAAGCTCCAGAAACCTGCCTTAGAGACAGCCCTGAATTTGGAGCCCAATGTCAGGAGTTTGACTCTAGGTTTGGCTATTTTGTATGACCTTGGGCAAATGACTTCCAATCTCTGGGCATGGGCATTCTGGGGCCCAGTGAGTACTAATGTCCTTTCTATCATCCTGCTGCCGTCAGTGGCCATCCAAAGTGGGCTCCCAGATTCGCGAGATCACACAGATCTGGAGCTAGAAATGACCTTTGAGGTCCCAGGTGAGGACACTAAGGTCCAAGAGGCTGTGACTTGAACAAGGTCATGCAGGTAGGAAGAGACAGATTCCCTGACTCCAGTCAGCACCTCTTCTGTCATACCACACTGTTGCCCCAGAGCAGGAATGTACTTAAGGTTGTCACTGAGACTGTCACTAGGGCTCTGCCACTTCCTATCTGTGGAACATTGCTTTCACTCTCTGGGCCTCAGTTTCCTTATCTGTAAAATGGGTGACTTGGGCTAAGTGGCCTCTAAGGTCTCTCTAAATCTCTGATCTTCTGATCCTACAATACATGATTTCATCACAATGGTTCTCATGAGTTGCTGTGCTCTTCCCCCTCCCCCAACGCATTTGGTGCTGAGTGTCTTCATACATAACTAGGTTGGTCCTTGGATGACAGATACACAGCCCATCACCACACTTGTATTCAAAGCCTTCCCAGCTTGGTAGGACCTAGCAGAGTTTGGTTTTTTTTTTTTTTCCCCAGGATAGACATTGAAAACTAAGAACTTCCCTGATGAATACCCAGGGGAGGGGTTCCTTTAAAGACCCATCCACAGGAAGCAATAGTGAAAAATGGAAGGCATTATAATACCAAGAGCTAATTATTCTCTCATATCACAGATGAGGAAACTGTGGATGAAAGACTCGCCTAGTATTACACAATGGTGGAGTCAGGCCTTGGACCCAGGTTTCCTGAGTCCACATCAAACTACTTTCCTTGATAGCATACTGCAATCCTCCAAGCATTTTGTCATTCAGGAAAGGGGCAGCAGGAAGGAAAGTGAAATGTTTGTGGGACTCAACAAAATAAATGATCATGGAAAATAAGGTTGCCTAGAGATGGTGGCACTTTGAGGGCCAAATACAGAAGTCTAGGCTAGATGGCTAAGTGGCAGGTGATCATGCATGGTCCATTTATCTGTGGTTGCCCTCCCCACAAGCTTCTTCCTTGGTTTTTTTGCTTGTTTGTTTGTTTGTTTTTGTTTTTAGGCAATTGGGGTTAAGTGACTTGCCCAGGGTCACACAGCTAGTGTCAAGTGTTTGGTCTGAGGCCAGATTTGAACTCAGGTCCTCCTGACTTCAGGGCTGGTGCTCTGTCCACTGTACCACCTAACTGCCCCCAAGCTTCTTCCTTATTTAAAGCCCCAGAATTCCTCCAAGGACAGAGAGGTAAGGAAGGATGCCTTTGGGATGGATCACTACATCTTTTCCCCAGTAAAACCCCTTACTTAAAGAGCTTCTTTTGTTTAAAAAAAGAACTACACACACACACACACACACACACACACACACACACACACAGAGAGAAACCCTCTGGGGTGATGGGAACCAATCCCTGAAACATTTAAGTTGTTCAGGAGAAATGCCAGTAGACATCGGGGTTTAATCAGAGGACTGTAAATTGTCCTAAAAGACCTATAAAGTTTCAATCATAAATGTAGCATAGAAACTTTAAAAATCTATAATAAAAAAAAAAACCCCATAGTCATGATTAGCAATTTTTGTGCCTGAGGCAAGTGGTTCCAAATACATTGAGGCCTGGAAAGCAGTTTGGCAGAAGTGAGGCTTAGGATGGCACCTTGTATCATACATCCATAGCAAGTACAGAGAAAATACATGATCTGAATGACAAAGGTCAGATAATAAGAAAATTAAAAGAAAATGAGATCAGATATCTTTCAGACTGGTGGGAGAGGTTATCAAAAAAAGAGAAAGGAGATCATTTCCATTGCATGACATTGAAAAGCTTTTGCACTAATAAAATCAATGCAACTTCTAATGCAATGTACTAATAAAACTAACGATGCAATGTAATAAACCAACTACTAAGAACAAGTCATGATGCAAAATACTGAAAACATCAATAAGAGGGAAGCTATCAAAAACTCTGAGTCAGTCAATAAGGCTTTATTAACGCACAGGTGCCAGGTACTGTGCTAATTGCTGGGGCTATTGTCGTTCAGTCGCTTTAGCCATGTCTGAGTCTTTGTGACCCCATTTGGGGTTTTCTCGGCAAAGATACTGGAATGGCTTGCCGTTTCCTTCTCCAGCTCACTTTACAGATGAAGAAACTAAGGCAAACAGGGTTAAATGAGTTGCCCAGGGTCACACAGCCAGTAAGTGTCTGAGGCTGGATTTGAACTCGGGGATCCAGGTCCGGGGCTCTATTCACTGTGCCACTTAGCCATCCCTCATTGCTGGGGATACAAAGAAATGCATCTCATCAGGGTCTGATTGAAAGATATCTAGGGACGTAACACAAAAATATAAGACTAAGTGTAATTTGTCCAACAGATAAGTGATCCAAAGACATGAAAAACATCTTTAAAAAAAGGAATTGTAAATGATTAACAATCATAACGAAGACTGCTCCAAATCTCTAATAATAAGAGAAATTCGAATCAAGGTTGTCAAAGGTAGACAGATGAGTACCATATACACCAAGATATTCACTGTAGCTCTCCTTGTGGCAGCAAAGAACTGAAAACAAAATATATGTCCAGTGATTGAAGAACGGAAGGAAGGAAACAAGTATTTTTTCAAGTGCCTACTATGTGCCAGCTCCTGTGCTAAGCACTTTACAAATATTATCCCGTTTGATCTTCATGGCAACCCTGAGAGGTAGGTGCGATTATTAGTCCCATTTTACAGATGAGGAAATGGAAGCAGTCTGAAGTTAAGTGACTTGCCCAGGGTCTCACACAGCTAGTGAGTGTTCAAGGTTAAATTTGAACTCAGGTCCTCCTTGCTCCAGGCCCAGAATTCTATCCAGTTTGTAGCCTAGCTATCTGTAATGGCTAAATAAATTGTGGTACATGAATGTAATGGAATATTACTGTGCTGGAAGAAATGGTGAGCATGATGAATGAAAGGAAGTAAAGTGAGCAGAACCAGCAAAGTAATATACACGATGACCACAGAGTGATATTCACGACGTATATTAGTTATACACACAACGACTATAGCACTGCACATGGAAAAACTGAAAATGACAAAACTGTCCAAACTGAATGGTGTCACCAAGCTCAGTCCCAAGGAAGTGATATGAGTCCCCCTCCTGCAGAGGTGGGGGAGCTTCTGGGAGGAGGGAACCTGCACATCTCAGGCTTTTCTCTTTAATTTGGCGGAACGTTTGTTTCTTTCTTCCTTTTTCATCCTTCATTATAATGGATAGCTTTCTGGGAAGAGGAGGACTATAGTGGGGAGATATAAGCAATCTACAAACAAGTGATCACAATAAAATTTATTTAAAGAAACGAATTGTAAACTGTCAACAACCATATGAAAGATGGCTCCAAAACACTCATAATAAGAGAAATGCAAATCAAAACAACTCTGAAGCTTCACCTCACACCTAGCAAATTGGCAAAGATGACAAGAGATGTAATTAGTCCATGTTGGGGGGGCTGAAGAATGACAAGCCCGCTAATATACTATGAGTGGAGCTGTGATGTGCTCCAACCATTCTGGAAAGCAATTTGAAAATATGCTCCAAAATGTCCATATTCTTTGACCCAGACAACCCACTGCTAGACATCTACCCCCAGGAGGGCAAAGACAGGAAGAAAGGCCCCATTTATGCCCAAATCTGCATAGCGGCTTATGGTAGTAGCACAGAACTGGAAACAAGATTGGCAGTGGAGGAGAAAGCTGGCATTTGATCGCTTCCTAGTTTAATTCATTATTCTTGCTAACTCAGTGCTAAGCTCAGTTATTTCTTGCCTCTTCTAAGACCAAAGGTACTGTCAGAGCCCCCCATAAATTCCACCACCA